AAAATTAAGCATCACCTTCTCTCTCTCCAGCTGACCCAGTAACTCTAAAAAGAAATTACCTCAGAAAGTAGAACACTTGCTATAATTACTGAAGCTGCTGTGTATGACTTAGGTGCTGTTAACAATAAATATTAATGTGTGTGTGTACATTCTTGTCATAGATGGCAACAATACGGTAAAGAGTCTTCTTGGTAAAGGCAATTAATTTCTTTGATTATACTTTGTACACTTGCTAAAATAGCTGGACGGCAAGTTTATTTTCAGATCTGTAAAATGAAGAAAATTCTGTGGCTTATCTTCAGATTCTCCCTCCACAACATTTGGGAAACATTTAAATAATAAACCCAAAGATACAAAGAAAGCATATGCAGCACTTGTACTATAGCATAAATATACTTTGGAATGTGGCATGTGCTACAGCAAAAATACTATATCAACCTAGCATTAAGGTTGTGACCCAAGCCAACAAAAACAAGATAATTCATCAGAGATTTATGGTCTGGCCTTCATCCAACCTACTGCATGTATTGCAATCTATTGCATCTGATCTGTTAACAATTCTGGGTGAATGTGTAACATCAAAGTTCAATTCTAGACACATCAATCTTGTATTTTGAAGATGAGACTGGAATAAAGATATTTTACCACATTATTTTGAACTTTTGGGCCTGAACTCTTGTGCTAAGTCTTCCTACAAAAAATGAAGTTTGATCCCATAGTACTATGCAATCTGAAACATGGGTTAATACTGGGATTTGTTACTATTAATTGTAGAAAAAATGACACATGAAAAATGAAAATATACATCTGAGATGCTTGCCTGTACAACTTCTGAACTGGTACACATGCAAACTGTATCACATTTGAAATTCTGTCCTGAAATGATTTAGAAAGATAGGATCAAAAATGCCTAATCACAAAAAGAGTGAGATTCTGTGAAGGACTATGTACAATCTAGACACTGTATATCTCTTGCTGATTCAAATTCTACTCTATCCAAGTTAGGGCAGAATTTCCAAACTTTCATAGCATGTTTTATATAACTTTTCCTTTCTTTCCCCTTTTTTGAAAAATAGAGAACTCTTTTTTTCTACATCAAAGCTTTTCACTACCTCTGTGCAACGTCTCATAACTGACCAATCCTACAACTTCTTTAGCACAAGAACCCTTTCTAACTCCTGAGGCCTTTTAGTATCTTCTCCTTCTCCATCTTCAACAGTCACTACAAAGGTGATATCCACTTAAGAATGGACATTAAGAATGCACGAGAGGCATCATCAACTCAGCAAGCTAATGCTGGTAGATTCATAAATCCCATACAAACTACTACAAAGATAAGAAAAACATAATCACAAATTGAGCCACTGCTTCAGCTGACATTCTTACCATGGTATTTAGGGGACATTTCAGTTCAAGCATCAGTGGTGCAAGGGTTTCTTTTAAATATGACTCTGAGCAGTGTTGTGGTAGCAAGCGCTAATTGCTGGCACCTCTGCTGTATAAAAGTAAAAGCAGGATTCAACCAAAAAGATAAACCATTTATGTTTGCATATTACACTGGTATACATACACCTACCTAAGCCTTACTCAGAATTAGTGGCAAATGTTTCCTTTTTCCCTCCTGTACTCCTTGTTTCCACAATACCTCATGCCTCATTCCAAAGCTGGGAAGATGACAACACAATCTGTTGGAGACTGGTGAGAACATAAGCAGTCACAGTGTTTTCTTGAATAAAGAGAGGTGAAAACTGCAGCTGTGACTCCAGAACATCCAAATCCTATTCCGGTTAATTCAGAGAGGTTAACGTCATACCTTAAAACTGAAACAGATGCTTGAGGAGTTGAGTTAGGGTTGGTGCCCTAACTCCTCATTTAGTGTAACTGATCAGGCCCTAGCAGTGCCTACCAGTGCTCACAAATACAAACTCCAAGAGGCTCTCGGGCTCAGTGAAGTAAAATATTATTATAAAAGTATTTCCTAAATACCTGTTGTGGAAACTGCTCCAAACAAACCTCATTCGATACTTTCTCTGCCCAAGAGGTACCTGGAGCTTATGAACAAAGGAGAAGGAAAGAAGTTATCCTACTCTTTCATACTCGTTTAATTTTGAAAAAAAGATATGAGACTTGAGTTACCAAGCTGTTGTTTTCTTGTGTAGACATGCTGTATAAGGTTCATTTTTCTCACTAGGGGCAGAAAAGAACACATACAAATGGAAAGTCAGAAAGACATGAGCACATGCATAAAGTGAACTGCATCGTTCTCTTTCCTTTCTTCTACTGGAAAGAGATTCTACTTCCTTGAAATAAGGAAGGCATAGGTATAGTCTAAATAGTGACTGCAAATAAGTTGCACAACAAACTTAATATTGTGCTATTTAGAACATCAGACAGCAAATTAAAAATACTCTATGGAATAACTGTGTTAGTAAAGAAACTAATGCTGTGCTCGGAATTGATAACCCTTAAATTAACACATTAAACTAGAGACAGTACAAATGATTTGTGGTATAGTTATCACTGGCAGATGGAGGCATGCCATGCAGCTGAGAAGGATTTTGATTCCAGAAAATGAAAGACAGGGATGAGGCAGAAAAACAAGAGAACAAAAAAACAAATTTGAAGTAGCTCTGTCATACATACAAATTCATCAAGAGTCATTGTTTTTAAATTCATTCTAATTGCTTACCGAAGTCCAACCTTACATATTTTAAATAACATGCCAGTTAAACTCCTGTCAGAAGTGGTCCTCTCTATGTGACCACAGGATATTTAAGTTACAAATGTTAATAGTGTATTTTATGAAGGGTAATGGCTGCAATACAAATGAAGAGGGATTACATACCAGGTATTACATTGCATGCATTCCTCTCCTAGTGTGCAAATGGCCAGATGGGCCCTAAAAGGCTAACTGCACTTGTGACAAAGTGGCCTTCTAAGCGTGGCAGAACTGAAACATTATGAAGCTATCAGTAGTGATATGACCTGATGTCATTGTGACTGTAAACATAAGGCAGATGCTTCTGTACTCAGACTTAACCTCCATGCAACCGTGCTTGGCACAAATACTTGTTACCCAAGAACAATGGGGTTTTACTTTCCAATTTACTTTCTACTTGTGCCAGTAGAAGTAATTTCTCAAATGCTTGCAGAAAGCAAATGCTCAGTGGCCCTGTTCTAGAGTCATTCATTTGTAGCTTTTGAAGAACAGTCAAAGGACCTCAAAGAATCCCAACATTTAAAAACACTTTCTGTGTTTTCTAATACCGAGATTATTCTTCTAGGCTTCTTCAGGCTTCTGAATATGTTCAGACAACATTTGCTCAATCAGAAGAGAGCTGTAGAGCACATCTTTCACATCTCTCCAGTCCTAGACAGCTCCCTCAGCTCTCTCAAACATACTACACTAGTTCTTCCTGTAACTTGGCCAAACACATCACCTTTTCTTTGTTTGTTATTGTTACTGTTTCTGTGTTTTGATTGGTTGATCGGTTTGCTTTGCTTTGTTTTTACAGAAAACCTTTAACGACCTTCAGTCCAGTTTTAACTTGGGATACAAATAGTTGCATCTAAGTTTTATGTTACTTGTACTACTGCATGCCTGGAGTGACTGAGCAAGTTTCACACTGTTGAAACTTGAAAATTCCCACTTGCACAGCCCTGTGATATTAGCAAATCAATTGGACAGCTACCTCTCCCCTCTTAACATACTTTTGCACTCCACACCATTCAGGAGTGATGGGATCATGAAGAGGACATTTGAATTGTCTCTGCGAAGGGTCTAAACTAAAGTATTCTACATCCAGTCCTGGTCAACATTTTTATCAGTGACCTCAATGCAGGACTGGAATGCATCCCCAGCACTAAACCTGGGGGTGCTGTTGACTTTGGAATGATGAGAAGCCTTGCGGAGGAATCTGCATACACTGGAGCAACAGGCAATCAGCACCAGCGCAAAGTTTAATGTAGTGAAGTGCTCAATTCTGCATCTGGGATAGAGAAATGCCTGACACAGGTACGGACTAGGAGATGAGTGGCTAGGGAGCAGCCCAGCAAAAAGGAATCAGGATGTGCTGGTGACAGCAGCTCAGCATCCATCAGCAGTGCACCCTGGCAGCCAAGGGCCATACCACATTTTAAGAGGCATTAAACACAGCATGGCCAGCTGGCTATGATTCTCATAGAATCATAGAATGGCTTGGTTTGGAAAGGTCCTGAAATACCATCTAGTTCTAACTCCCCAGCCATGGACAGAGTTGCCAACCACTAGATCAGGCCATCTGGAACCAATATACAGTATTCAGCATTGGTGCAGCCCCATCTTGAGTACTGTGTGTAGTTCTGCAATCCTCAATAAAAAATAGGGTGCTAGTTTACTAGAAAGTGTACAGAGGATGACAACAAAGGTTGGTAACAAGTTTGGAAAGCATGTCCTGTCAGGAGAGGTTGCGGACACTTGGATTGTCAAGGGGTTCTCAATTCCATTGCCCTCTAGAACTTTAGAAAAGTTGTAAGACCACTCACTGTCTTTAGGAAAAGCTGACTATGATTCAATTTATATGATATGGAAGATACCAAAACTAGTGATTCTTGCCTTTCATCAGCGCCAATAGAGAGCGAAAAAAATCACACTTACAGGGAATGATCTATCTGACATAGACAGATATATACTTTTGGATATAAGAAAGTGCAAGAAAAATCTTTCTTTCAACTGAGTATCAGGGTTTCCCAGCATGAATAGGTCTGATTTAGGTTATCTGCTCTGTAGGTGTCTGTCCTTGACCAGGTGATCCCACTCCCGGTGGCTTATGTTGGACATAACGGACACCATTACTATTCATTTTTGTAGTTGCAATGTTTAAACAAAAAGTGAAGCAGAAGAAAAAGTCTGAGGAGCAAACAATGTACTTTTTCTCCCATTTATTACTGAGATATGAAGTCAGCGGCTTATGAAGAGGAGGCTCAGCAATCTAAACAGAGCTGGTTTATCATGCACTTACCTTTGGGGATAGTAATCTGACATCCCAGGTCATACTCCTGCTGCAGCTGATAAAAAGCCACTTCCTGCAGCCGAGCGCGCTCCAGCTCTGAGAGACTTTGAACGGGAACTGACTTCAGCCGAACGCTGCGCCCTGACATGCTGTTCCAAGTGAAATCACCCTACAGGAAATCAAATGGAAAAATATGAAGCATCATACGGTATGTGCAATTTAATAAACATAACTATCTCTTCTACTGCAAGGAGAAACAATGCATGTCCTCTTTTCTGAAAGGCCATTTTCCTGGACTTCTCTAACCTTTCAAATATCTTTGTTTTCCTAAGACTAACATTCCTTAAAAGGAGTACAGACATACAAAACAAAGTCAATTTTGCCTGAAAACATGTAAGCATGTATTGTTGCAAAAACTCTGGGATTCCAGTAATCAAAAGCAAATAGCAGGAAAAAAAAAAACAACCTTGTCTGCTTTTCCCAGCTTGGTTTCTTTGTACAGTAGTTCATCATCACTTCATTCCCTTCAATGCACATTCAGTCAGAGACCTGTATTTCTACAGGTCCATGGATAACATGCATCTTATCTCCTCCAATTTGCTAACCCCACTCCCCACAGCTGTTCAGTGAGTAATTTTCTTTCCCAATGCATCCTACCCGCTCCTTACAAAGTGACTGTGGTTAAAGCAAGACTGACTAAAGGATAATTTGTTTTACGTTTCTGAAAAGCCATTATAACATATGCGCTACAATACAATAAAACAACATGAGATATGCTGCATCTCTGTAAGGTACCAATTATGTTCAGAAACAAAATCAAAAGCTTTATAAGTTTTATCTCCCACATACGATGACATACACAAAAAGCCATTCTTATTGCTAGTATTTAGTTCAGATAAGAGAAGTAATCATCAGTTGAACAGAAGTACAACCACACAGAAAAGCTGAAAGACTGACAACTAACTTGAAACAAGAACTTTAGAATTCATCAAAGCATAATTAGAGAACACATTTTTCTACATGGAAGAGTTCAGCTTTGAGCAAAAAAGACTCAGAGGGAATCTGATTAATGTTTACAAGTTTCTTAAGTGTGGTAGTCAAGAAGATATGGCCAACTTCTTTTCAGTAGTCTGTGGGGACTAGACAAGGGGAAACTGCCATAAACTGGAGCATTAGGAAGTTCTGCATCAATATGTGAAGGGACTTCTTCATAGTGAGGGTGATGGAGCACTGGAACAGGCTGCCTTGTGAGGCTGTGGATTCTCCTTCTCTGGAGATACTGAAGACCCATCTGGACGCCTGCTTGTGAAGCCTGCTGTAGGAAGCCTGCTTTGAAGGGGGGCTGGGCTCAATGATCTCCAGAGGTCCCTTCCAACCTCTACAATTCTGTGATTCTGTACATAGCTATGACTGCACATGCATTCACATGTATGAGAGATAAAAACATCATAAATATGCAGCACCATCTAGCAATGTAGCTGAAAGAAACAATGCAGTGAAGGACTTTTCTTGTAAACCATGAAATGTGTCTCAGTCCCTCAAGAAGCCTTTGTTTTTGTAAAAAATTTTTGCAAGTTATAAGGCAGTTGTGACAGATGAAGCTGTCACCTTGAATTGAACAGTACTGTATCTACATGTTAAATGAATCTACTATACCCAATATTTTTTATGATATGTATATTTATATGTGTCACATCTGTAAACTTTTGCACTAGCCCAGGATTTGACCACTGGAATTTGGTTTTTGCTTTTTCTTTTTTTGCTCTTCCACTGCTCCACTGCTGACTAACTAGATTTAGTGGTCTCAAATGAAGGGTTTGCAAGGTGATATAAACCAAGACTAGCTTAACTCAAGTGAAACCAAAGCAGAGAGATTCACATAAACCCGTTTTGCGAAACTGCAAGTAAATGTTTACATTTTTGAAAAAGCCGTTGTCATTTATAGTTAAAAGTGATCAAGAACAGAATCCACCATCAGACAATGTATACCAAGAAAGAATTCCTTTCCAATCATGATAATACAGAAGAAAAAAATTTACAAGTGCAGAAATATGCAACTCAATCCTTATGAACATCTCACGTACAAAATGTTCTATAGTCAAGATAGCAAAAAGAGAGAACTACAGGCTTTTGGGGTAGACATTTCTGGATTTATCTTATCTATTTCTCTTAGATGAGCAATTTCATAAACAAAAGTATCATGGATATACATTTATTATGGTAGGCATAACTGGGATGTTTTAATTTTGAAATGTGAAGGCATGAAAAATAGAAAATTGTGAACTAACAGCTTATTAAGACTAGAAAGTTTTTAGAACATATTCTGTTTCCTGTAGAGCACAAAAAACAAGGAGGAATATGGAGCTTTTAGGAACTGCCACAAGTTAAATACATACTCCTTAACTGGAATTATGCATGGACACATGAATTATTGTTATTTTTTGATGAAAATCAATGTGGGCAAATCTAATTCTGGAGGTAATTGCACCCTCTGCCTCACCTCAGAGTAGCTTTGTAACAGCAGGCAGCAAGCTGTACCACTGCAATACCTCAGCTGCTGAACCAGCCACATGAGTTTAATTCGAAAACACAACATTTACTGGCATCAATATTCTGCTTTTGAGGCCAACGAAGACTCTATGCAGAGCTCTGCTGCTTTATATGAGCAAATCAGCCAGCTCAGCACTGGCTTAGAAATCCTACTCAAGCTAATTTTACCTTATTATGGCTGCACCTCATCTCTCTCTTTAAAAATATAAAAATAAATAAAAATTAACAAGTCTAAGTTTTACAACCAAGAGAAATAAGAAAGTCCCATACCAGATGAAGATTGTTCCTCTCAACCAAGATTTTCATTCTGTCAGTCTCTAAGCTCCCCAGACACCTCTGGCACTCACCAGCATGGCCCTTGTTGGCTAAAAATGGTCGGATGCATCCTCAAACTCCACGACAGATTGTTAAGCAGCAATAAAGAACTTGGAATCACTCTGCCCAGTCTCTGTGCACTACATAAGGCATTCTTCTTTTATACTTGATGTGTTTGATAAAATCTCTGCTAGGTCACATTAACATAGGGTTTTACTATGCTAATGGAACACATGAGTAATTATCTGAAATATTTTTGGAAGATCATGTGTTAGGGCCAATGGAATCTCCTAATCTGTTGAAGCAGAGGCTGAAGAAATGTTTCCTTGAAAAATTCTGTTTTATCTGGCAAATAAATATCAGTCTTCTATGAGCCAAAGTACAATATTTTATGTCTTAATCTATTCATAGGCTCTTATGCTTTGTGGGACAGTAGGTAACTTAGCAGCTTCACCTCCCTTCTAATGCAATGAGGAATTCTGACACACAGCCAGCAAATTTCTGCAACATCAACCAGGCTTGGGAGACGTCCAGAGAAGTCAATATACCTTCGGGAAGGAGTACAAGTGCACTTATAAAATTCTCAATTCTGTAAAACTATTCTGTACTATATGGGACAACCGAAGGAGGAAAAGGGCAGGACAGGCACAGAGAACATTCTCTTTTTCCCTCTCTGAGGAGGCACACTTCATTAGCCACGTTCAACTAATAGCCTGATATAGTTCTTTGCAGAAGCTTAAGAGGAACATAAGATTTTTAAGCACCAAGTCAGGGGATTTGCTTTTTGAAGTCTATGCCCTGCATATGTGTTCAGACATACATACTCAGCTTTTTCCCTGTTTAGACTGTAGGACTAATTAGAACATGATCTGCAAATGGTCCCTTCATCAGCAAGAAGAAAAATAATCAGCAGACAAGACTGTAAACAGAAATGTTGCTCTGGGATAAAGTGATCAGTGATCACCCTGATAGGCACAAACTGCTAATTGTGAGGTTGCTTTCGTAATCGACTTTTATAAAACCTTAACCAGACTAAAAGCCTTCTCCAGTTTCTTCTGCCAGCCAGTCACTTCTTTTCCCTCACATTCGCATTCTTCTCTCTGGCTTTCCCATTAACATCTAACATCTTTCCTCCTCAGAACTGAGCCGTACACTTATCAGGCATGTGACTAAAATACCAGAGCAGATGACTCAGCAAAGGAGATGAATGATTAACTGCATCTCATGCCTTTGAAAAATCTGTCCGCTTTTCCCACAATTCTTGTCCACCATCATAAGCACTTTTTAACAAGATACAGACTGAAGTTTTACTGATATTTCTACAAATATTTTCTTTAGGGGTTGGCTGTCCAGCGGCTCTGAAATAAACCCAAGTGGTACATCTTCAGCAATACTGTGCTCTTAAATTACTCTTAGGCATCTGTAGGCTACTCTCATGTATTTTACATTGTTCCCCTCAGCCTCCAAAACAGTCTTTCAGTTGTGTTGTAGCAAAGTCTTGTTCTTCTGTACAGTGCAGAAATGGGCTGATAAACTCTGCAAGGAATTCTGAATGCAGATAACAAACAAACACATTGACCATTACCTCTGTTGACTACTATGGAGCTTTAAGCCTTCGTGAGCAATGTGGATCATGCACAGGGTAGGCAAATAGGAATCTCTCACACATGGCAGTTTTAGATAATACAGTATTTTAATGCAAGATGCAGAAAGCAATTTTTATCTTATTGCATTGCTGTCAATGTTAATGACTTTAGTCTGTACTCATTTAGGTAAATACCATTATCAGATTAGCTGTCTACTTTTCATTACTCTTTTGCTGAAACCCATTTGAAACCACTAAGATTAAAGCGAATTATGCTTCTTTGTTTTTTCTCTTACCTTAGCAATACTTAACCATGTGTTTATAGTTAGATACATCTCCACTGTAAAGGAGTTCAATATTCCACACGCAAGAAGATTATATTGCAATAATATGACAAAATGTCTTAATTTTGTTTGCTTAATTACTTCCCTAAGCTTCATAAAACTGTGTGTAATTACTTCTTTATAAACCTCTCACTTAAACAAGTAATTCATTTCAACTCTCTCTAAAATAACTTCCACACTCCTCTGCCATAAAGCCTCAAATTTTGACAGTTGATATTCCCCTAGCACAATCTGGATGTCTGTACAGATCATCTCTCTCTTCCTCACTTCTCTCCAGTCAATGTTGATAGGAAGCTGCTTCAATCTGACAGCCTTTCATTGCAACTTCTTCATCTAAAGCCAGAGTACAAAGCAGAACGCCCGGCAGGGCATGAA